TTGATGTAAAACAAAAAAATCGCCAAATATTCCGCACGAGACGCGAATTGTCGGTTTAATATAATTATAATATTGTACAGCCGAAAGTAATAATGAAGTACACGTATGGTCCGCGGTGTTAGACGTTTATATTATATATCTACTTAATATGTATATTATATTATTATTATCGTTACGTAATACATGTATTAAAATATACATATTATAAAATTATAGCCCGCGATGATGCGCTTAGTCCGGGATGATAAACTCGTTTGATTAACGAATTCTCGAATATAATAATTAATAGTATATCATAATTATTCGTTTTAAAAGGTACACGTACCTATACATTATAAACATTCGAAAACAATTTATCCCATAATAACATAATATGTGTTATAAATTATAATCTACTATACTATTAATATAACATGATCAATTTTAAAGGTCCAAACGCATCACCAACTATATATACGTATATACGTCTATAGATAAAAAAAATTTAATTATTGTGCTTACGTAGAACGGTAATAATTAAATAATAACAGACAGTTTAACTTGAACTCTTTCTTTTATTTCTATTTTAATTGCTGTACAGGAACAACGCTACACTTGTAATAATTTCGTTGTTGTTTCCGGCTACTATATCATAATAATATGTATAGACGTTATTGCAACATTATGCCAATTAAAACCGTCTACATCCCACTGAGTCCATTGTTATAGTTTAGCTCGAGACTTTTTTAAGCGCGAGTGTACGTCGTAAACTGTTTTATGAATGAAGTATACGGAATCGTTAGTATACGCGGTGTCCGACTGACATAATATTATAGCGAGGTGTCAAGCGACGGAGGAAAACATTAATATAGGTTTTAGCACTTCAAGTTCGTTGAGAGGAAACAAAAATATTATTAAATAGAAATTAAATATGTAAAGTAATAATAATTGTTTTATGCTATCGATGAGTGGAAATAACTTTAATTCACAATTTTACATACACGTCATTATGGTACTGAAAAACGAACAACGTGTATGAAAAATGTGCTGTAGACACGAATGAAATTCATTCAAGTGTCAAGAAATAAATCGGCCATTGTTAATTATTACGAGGAAATGTTAATATAGATAACCTATATGAACGGGTTTAATTAAAATATTGATATGACTATCGCGGAAAATAACAATAAATTGGTTTTAACTACACCATGATTCAAACATAAATTAATTCCGTTTTCATTACATTATAATACAGGCTATAAAGGTGTTCTTACGCATAATTACGTACGCATATTATTATATTATATTTACCCTGAGCGGGATAAATAAATGAAGTCCGGAAAAGTAATAAAAGCTGGGCATCTAATAAAAACGATAGGTAAGTATGTTAGAATTAATAATTCGCATCCAATGATAATGATGACGATCACAATAGTAAAACAAAAACCAATGGTCGATATTTTACATCGCAACATGTCATTGCAATAAATCGAAAATTTTACAGGTATTTGTTTTTGGTCGGAATCAAAAAAATACATATTTTCGTAATCATCGAGAGTAAGTAGAAATGTGCTGTGCTACACTAATATATTGATAATAATAATACGAAAGACCCGAATTAAAACAATGATAATAATAATATTACCATTATGTAAATCGTCAACTGAACGGTACTCTCAAGCGGAGGCGGCGGCGAGTAAGATTATGACGTAGTGGAGAGAGAGGTAGACGAGCGCCTGTATATACGGCCGACGGAGTATAAAAATCTAAAACGAAAGTGATGAATGAAAGGGAAACCGAATGTTGTCTGTTGTTCCGGCGACGGCGGCGGCGACCGAGTGGGTAGTAGTGTAATAGAAGTAAACGAATAGAAAAAACCGACAAATTTGGTTTTTCGGCCGGGGAGGAAAAAATTGCTAATAACAAAGCCCCTCCCCCCTCGACTGTGTAGTTTCTGCAGTCTAGTGTGATAACGCGAGAAGCGAAAAAAATCGGTCACGAGGAGGGAGGGGGAAGTGTTTTATAGGACCTAGCCAAAAACCAATGTCGTGTCCTTGATCCGTTCTCTTATATAGTCGTTTCGCACGCGCACTCGCAAACACGCACAAACTCGCATATTACACACACTAACACACACACGCACTTGCTTACACGCACTTACGCACACACACTAGCACACACACAAGGGCGTCGGTTCTGCGATTTTATAAATTTCGGCCAGCGTCAAGGCCGGTCATCATAATATCTACCAAGTCGCCCGCCCCACCGCGACCAACCGTTATGGCACACACCGCCACCGCAGCGTTTCCGTTCCTTTGTTGCCGAAAATTCGTTGCGCAGATATGGAAACAAAGAAGGAAAGAGAACATAATAATATTATAAGGAAAAATAAAAGTAATAATAATAATAATAATAATAATAATAACAACAACAATAATAAAACTTAAATGAAAACGCAACGTCACACAATAGGCGGGGAACGAGCGCGAGGTTAGGCGTGCGGACAGAGAAAACGCGAGTTTTTCACAGTCGTATAACCCAAATAACATTTTCTTCCAGATGTTTATTTTTGCTTTGAAAAGAAAATATTTGAACTCGAACGCTACGCGTGTTTGTATTGCAATTTCCCGGGCGGTTTTCCCGCGATTCATAAATGGAGGATCTGCTACGTACAAAGCTGCACCTCGTCACACTCGTAATATTATATAGGTATCCACTATTATGTACCTACTATAGCTAAGCCGAGGTTTACACGGAAACGATCAACGTTGAAGTGAAAACTTTTATTCATTGCCCCCGCGAACAATGAAGGAATTTCGTTTTCTTTTTTAATTCACGAGTAGGTATTACTCGGTTGGCAATATAATAGAACTCGAACTTTGGGCATCTCATTATAATATACACACGACTACACAAGACGAAAAATAATAATGTAATTTGAATAACATTATGATTTTTATTATCTTCTATGCATCTCGAATTCTCGGCAGACGTCTCATATACGCGTCACACACATTCCACAAGGACAAACGGAAACTAGGATGACCCAACCCGAAAAAATCGTACACTGTATATTATAATATATTATGATATTTTATAATAATATGGTAGTACCCATATCGTGTGCCGATATAGTATAAATACCGCACCAAGTCAACTAGATATACGGGCTGTACCTACTCCGGATACCGTAAAATATACACGTAAATATTAATATTATACAATATCATATTGTGTTCTGCTTAGTTCATGTGGCACCCTGTACCAACGATTCCTATAATAATATTATTATGATGTTAATATTATACAGCGTGAGCGCCGTTTGAAGTTCAAGACGTCGCCTTCGCCGAGGCGTACATTATCATGATATTACATACTATTTACAAACAATAGGTACAAAAACCTGCACCCCGGCTGTTCATATATAAATTATGTGTCAAAAGTCACTAGCTATAATGTTATAATATTGTTTCCAGGTTGCTGCTTTTATGAAATTGGTACTTAGCGTACAACAATAATACCTCTACTGAATTTCCGGGATATTTTTCGATGATATAAGTATTGAATACGATTATACGGGTACCTATGTATAGAACGGACGATATCCTTCCAGGATGATGTCTCATCTGATTTAAATTTTACAGCCCACGGTAAGCTTCCCAAACCGCGAAAACCACTAATACAAATTCTCTAGTCTAGACCAATAATACACCAGCCAAAGGTTATTAATCTATTAAACGTCATGAGTCATGACATTACGTCTGCAGTCTGAGAGTCTCCATCTGAATAAGTAGAGCTTTTTGCAATGTTCCAAAATGTATATTACGTTCCCGGTAAAAACACAATACCAATCGGAATCCAAACGCGCCGTATACAATATAGAAATCGATTATATAATTACACAAGTGAGTTATAGGGACATATCCCGGGTTGAATGACCTACAATCGAAGGTCTCTAACAAAACGCCAAAGCTATATGTATAATGTATATGTGCTATTTATGATGATTTATGACCTATTTTTGCCGGAATATAATTATAAACGATTTATACTCTGGCTATAAAATATGTATACATAGACAATGTACAATATATTCCTTGTAAACGTCATATTTACATCAACAAAATTAGGCAAAGACTGCAATGTCGTATAACTACTCCGTACTCGTAATAGAAAATAATCATTATTAAAAATTTTACAACAAAACTGATAAATTAAATACTTAATCAAATTATTTACTCAACAAAAACATTTGATTTATTTTTTATTCTACTCGAACCATGCCAAGTTATCCCATTAATGTTTTAAAAAATATAAATTACCAACGATAAATCAATTTGTATTTGCGTGGTAAACCTAAGGTGTTATTGGAATGTGCATATTCTCAACAATTATATCAATCGCATATTTAAATAACGCAATAACTGCGTACACATCAAAATTAGTTTTTATTTAAATTTTATAAAACTCCAAAAATCCTTAAGAAAACCTGCGCGTAAGCCAATAGATCGAATCAATTAGAGCAAGGTTTTTAAAATTAACATAAAATATAATGCAGACTAGATCACAATGTTAGTGTCAGTATTGTTGGGCCAAATAACTGATATTATTCCTACGTTTTTGACTACCAAAGCACATACATGATAATTATATTGGTACCACTAATAATGAACGTATCTATAGGTAATTCATTAAAGCGTAAGGTGTATTATCTATAGGATAATATTATTAATTATCTATATGACAAGAATAAATATCAGTTATTTTAATGACACTTTAAAGTATGCTGTGTAGTGAGAAATGAGAATGCTCGGGATCGACAAAAAATGTGCAAATTAAATATATAATTGTGATTATACGTAAATTAATTCCGGGTTATAGGGAGCCACACGATAAGGTGGAAATTAATTCAGCAGATATCTTTGTTCAACAAAACAAAATCACTCCCACAACGCTAGTATTATAGGAACCCATATCGTGAAAATATATTATTCGATTTAACCAATGGTATTTTGACTTACCACGTCGCATGTCAGCCACATCATGTGCACTTCTTTGAACCGCAAAGCAACCACTGGTACATCGGACCCGCTCACCCGGGTTCTCTGCTCCTCAAACAGCTTGCTCTTTTGCTTGCCCCGAACCAGGTAGATCTGTATAGTCCTGTATGATATACAATACGATTAGATTACATACAATTTAAAAATAATATTATATATGGGTGTCACAATCATTATGACAAATATACTCAGATGTAATCTAAATACGAAATGGTCGAAATTATTTTTCAAGTTTATTAAAATATAAAAATATTCCCTGTCAAGTTCGCATGTAAAATTATATTCATATGTCACATGATTTTTGCTCCAATTTAATCCATTTCCACCCATTTACGAATACTATATTATAGTATAGGTATATAATATATTATATTATGTATTAGGTTCGTAAAATAAAAAAATTATTACGTGATTAGTATTATTGATAGTTATCGATGCAAAGATTGACAAGGGATCGGAACGATGTATAGGCAGCAGGATAAACCTCAAAATAACAATTTGGAAAACATAAATACCAACAATATTTCGTTTTTACGGGAACATACTAGTCAACCAAACTACTACGACGGCAACGAGTACCTAAGTTTATCTTGTTGGTGGCGTTATTCGTTGTAGAAACATTCTGTATAAAATAAATTAATTGTACCTATCTACAGTGCGTTACATTCTATAATACATTCATCGTCATTAGGAGTGATGCGGTTACTTATTAGAATTACTTAAAAGAAGTTATCACTAATCAGAGTAGAATTGTTATACTCTAAGGTGGAAACCCAGCTAACAGCTGCTGTTGTTATCAAATATTAGAGGTCATACGGTTGTTTGGAGATAATTGTATATATGATAATAATATTATAAAAGTAATACGAGTATTATGAGTATATCACTGGTTCGCGGTGAATGACGCGGCATAGCGAGACTTCACGAAACTTAGATAACGGTCGATCATTGTTAATATACATATTAAGAGAATAACTCAACCCAATTAGATATAATATTTGAATATTTCCACTCGATAGATAAACAGTATATAGGTATTAAGATATCGTATCGCATAGCGTTGTATAAAGATGAAGTAGAAAATGCTTTCTATACACATGATGGGAAATTCAAATCCGAAAATCCAGTCAAACGATTGATAAAATATATTACATAGTTCCTACGAGTTTTAAGACTGGCGTACAAGACTCTGAAACGAAATATTATAATATTATGGTAGAGGTGAACCAAACGTCGTTATCTGCGATGTTTGCTTCGCGGTTGTTTGCTGTCAAACGCCGAAAGAATGCATTATAATATTTTGATCCCACCCAAACTCTATCTACATTTTAACTCTATCGCTATACACACGAATACGTATTGTTCATTGTAGACTTAGAAAAAAGTATAACGAACTCTCCAACACATTATTATAATACCTATAGGCAGACAGCGAATGTTCTATGTATCATAATAGGTATACCTATACTATTTTTTTATTATACATTATTATTATATGGAATGTCCGATTGTTTAACCGAATAAATGCGACGGTTTCTTTTTACAGCTTTTTCACTTATTTGTTTCCGACCAATCATAATCAATTAGATAGTGATAAAATAAATATTAAATGTGTCCCACAGAGTATAAAATGATCTCCAGTGGAATATAATAATAATAATAATATGAGTAAAAACAGGTTTCGGCTGTTGGCTGACAAAATATAAAACAAATAGTGAGTGCATAAAAAAAAATACATGCATAATATATATACACATAATAAAGATAAATATTCTGATGGGAAAATAGTCTAGTGTGTAAACAGGTGATTTTTATGAAAGGTTATATGTGTAAACATAAAACTTTTTTTATTTTGGTAGGTATATCATATGAGCTCATTGTTCCTTTATTTTGTAATTCACAGCTACAATTATATTTCATAATTACAAATGGGTTATTAATTATACTCTTTCTGAAAGCCATAAATCATAATTGCAGCAGGTAGTTCTCTAATTTTAATGTGTATTTGAAAGGCACATTAGGGAGATTTTAACTATAATAATACATGAATGATGTACATAATATTATGAGGGAGGACGGCGGCGATAATGTAAAACGCGGTAAACAAAAATATAGATTTGTATTAATAAAATATAAGATAGTTAATAACACGAATTAAGAGAAAGATGGACAAAAATATTTCAAAATCACGAACACTATGCAGGTCGGAGCTACATTTTTTTGAAAAATGTTTGGTTGGAACCCAAATTTAATTGAAATATATTTTGTCGGAATAGTATAAGTTCAGAAACGTATTTTTTTGGAAATGTATTTCTTAGGAACGGCATTCCATAACCTAATAACAAACATTTCCAAAAAAATATTTTCTATGAAAATATGTTTCTGAGAAAATTAACAATTCCAACAAAATATTATTCAGAATATAATAATTCCATCAACATAATATAATGTTTCCAAAACAATATTTTCCATAAAATTACCGTTTCCGATCGAATTTGCTTTCGACATAGTATACCTAATTCAAACAAATAACGACTTTAGGACCAAGAAATATGATTTAATAAAAATATAGTCTTAACAAAATGTGTTCCTGATGGGGTATTTTAAAAGATAGTACGGTTCCAAACCAATAGTTTTCCAACTTCTCGTGCAACCAACCATGGCACCGTATATATTATGAACGTGATACAAATATGGAGCAAATGCGGCAGTGACCAAAATCGTATACAAAATGTTATTGTATACTAGTCGTGATTTAAGTTTATACAAATAATATTAGTACAATATGAATTATTATAATGAAACTACTCGCTATAAAGTGAACATGTTCGCTCGAATTCTCGAATAGGGTAATCATAATTTGCTAATAGATATTTGTTTACAATAATATATTATTTACTCATCTTTCAAGAGAATGTCATCGCATGATTTTCGTACCCACATCAAAACTTAGTTAGAGAATAATTTTAATTGAAAATAAGAACGATTTGGCATAAATTATCCATTGTGAAAATGAAGGTCAATAAAAAATTTTGAATTAGAATAATCTCAGACATTTTCATCAATATCGGTCGACCAGTTTTTGAGTCTCCACGTCAACCATACACACACATATTGCCGTGATACATATTATATCCTATATATTACATCTGTTATAATATACAACTAGTTACTACTACAACAAGCGTACATGATTTTTCGCAATAGTAAGTCGAGAGTTAAATATTTTTTCGCTTTTAGAAATTAAAAAATAATTATCGTCATTTTTCTAGGCAATTTTTTCTCGTTCATTCTTAAGAGAAAAACTGTTTCGGATCTATTGCTATTGCAGAAATTGTATAGATGGCTAGAGGATACGGTGAGCTGTTCCGGATCAAACGATTCGCGGGCAAACAAATTTTTGAATTTTCGCGTAGGTAGAAACTTTAAAATCAGCATCTCTCCACAATCAACCCTTTTGCGTGCTTCCTTGTATGCTGTACAAAGCGTCCCTCCCTATACATAGATGCGTCTCACGGGTCAGACTTTTCTTTCTTTTCTTTTTTTTTTTTTTTGAGAAAATAAAACAAATAAATAAATAAAACACGAGCGGCGTATTCTTGCAGCAATTCACACAAACATGCATGTAGATAAAAACTCGACAACATTTCCCCGGGGAATGATGTGCTCGGTGCTGTTAGAAATCTTATATTGTTAATTTAAAAAGTGTTGTTCGCTAGCAGATCGGGCGAGAGGGGAGATAAATATTAAATAACATCGGATATATATATACACACACACAAGTATATATTATTATATTACAGAAAATGAACGCAGTTCAGACTAAATGATTAACAACCCGATGCATTTAATGCAAACGTATATACGCTTGGGATGTATAAACAACGACGCGGGACACGGGTAGTTAATTTTTTCGCATAAAAAGTAAGTTCACTTAATTATACAAACGTATATAGTAAAACTCGTTATTATTTCAACGCGTGTAAATAATACACCTATATAATGTATACATATATAATAAAATATAAATAGTATTTAAAATATAATTTTTAAATGTAAAATGCACGTATAGTGTTTAAAATCAAAACTACGACAATATTAAATACAATATACCTATAACGGTTTCCTCTCCTTGACAAAAACAAAAGACACCAAAAATGGTCTTCCACCGATAGCAGATTTCTATTAGAAATAACACGATATTATATGTTTATGCGGTGCAGAATGACTCAATGTATAATATATACCTTTTACTAAACACACATAATAATCGGTTTATGGCGATTGGAAAGCGATTCCGCACAAATTTTGTATTGACCGTCGTCCACAGCAATTATTTGTTTTAACAAAATAACAAAATATTACTTGGTCTATGTGTATTATAAATTGGTAGAAATGTCAAACAAGTTTTGTTTTAAAACAATCATCTAAATTATGTTATAGATATAAGTACTCTGATATCAGTTACCTGAGTTGTATTGTTTAAAAATTATGCCGAAATCGGGACCTGCACGTAACCTTTTTATCTTTATATAGGTAGATAATCCAGTGTACCAGATTACGTGACAGCAGAAAAAAATAATTTCTAACTAATAGTCGTCAAACGAACACCCGACATCCAGAGGATTAAAGACAAGAGATTATAAGACATGACGGCAACATCATTTATTCAACGTATAGTAACTAGTTCGGAGTTCGATACAACACACACATGACATACAAAAAAAATACAGTGACTATTTCATACGCATATATATTTAGGTAAATGAAACGAAAAAGTTTGTAAGTATTCGTGGTAGCCTAAATGTACCGAACAGTATTTAATTGCGTTCTACAGGTTGCGCACGTTTTAAAAAAATTATCGGAAAATTGACGGTTAGCTCGCATACATCGAAAAATGTATGAAACCGTTTGCGCAGCTATCACCCATAATCGCAAAACAATATAACCTCCTAAACGCAATCTAAAATCACAAAAAAATAAAACACCTTTTTCACAATTCATAAGCAAAAATTCCATTTCACCAAATAGAACTACAATACAGATAGGGATATTACTAACATCAAAATAATCATTAATGAAGCGTTTATAATACCTAATCAAATTAAGTACCTTGAAATTTATCATAATATACTTACAGTACATAGATTGTATATAATGTAAATTTTTAAATACATATAATTATTTAACCCTTTACCATTAATAAAAATGATTACTAATTAGAATTATCTTTATAAGTATGGTTCTATTGAAATTAATCATTTTTAATTTAAGACAGAAATATATAATATTTGAAAAGTTTAAAGTTGCGATCATCAAATTGTACGCTGAAAGTTATTCCTCAAATAATCAATACGTTTAATAGATTTCAGTTATACTGGATAATAAAATTGAATTTTGGGCTTTTATCTCACTGCTGAGGTATAATATCGCAAACAAATTTAATTTATTAGGTAAATCTAAAAATATCATGATGGACTTTACCGTTTTGCGCAAGTGATGGCGTATATTATACTTTTATATAATTTCATCTTAGCCAATTATCTTAATCAATCGAATATTCAATGACATCACAGACATCGGACTCAATTAAATAAAGGTTAGGTACCCTAACTAAAATACACAAACAAAATATATCAACACGCAAACAATAATAAAAAAAAAAAAACTATTTAAAAAACCCAACCACAATATTTTGTCACAATACTTTATTGTCAATGGTTTTTATTTGATTTTATTATTGACGACGACATTTGATCTGATGTTAGTCTAGTTAATTTAATTCAAGTGATTGATTTTATAATATGAAACCGATTCCGTCATTATTACACAATATATCGGTTAATTGGCTATTCTCGACGAGCATACGACGCACAATAACATTATTATATAATACGCGTTTCATTTTAAGCATAAGAGCAAATAAGATTTTCCACCCGTTTATCTATATATGAATAGTGAATACGACAAAATAATAAAATGTGTTATGATCACATACTTTTTAGGCGAGCGGCTAATAGAGGCAAAAACGATGTAATATTATGGTTCTCACTAACACAGAAGGTTCTGAATGATGAAGCCGGATTCGCAGATACTTCGTGTATCGTGTCGCGCGTAGTCGTGGTAACAATGGTTACAACTCGTAACTATATTGGTTTAGAAGTTGAGCTGCAGACAATTCTCGGTATACTCGGTTGCAACTTGGTTATTATACAATACCAAAAAAGTAACGTTCAATTATAATGCAAATTGATCAACACGACGTAGCTGTGAACCCGCCTGAAGGAACAACTGAACAACTGAACAACTAAACAACTGAACAGAGAAAAGAGATGCATATATTGCGATTAATAACGGGTTCAGTTGTATTGGCCAAGTTCACAGTTATGTCTATTTTCTGGTATATCGTGGTTAGTGAATGATACCACGGCAGATAAATGAGACACGACAGACGGCCCACCTACAGAGACCCACGACTTTACTTTAGACTTATACATAGTATATCACATCAACGTGTTTAATACCAAAATTACGGTACGTACCTAAACACCTTACGAGTGTTGTGCGGATGGAGCGCACTGGCGGCCACCGGATCGAAGTACGCGGCGTGCGCCTTGAGAGCTGCCGGCGTTAGTAGGTCCACAGCCGTCCGTTCGTGGTCGGCCAACAAAGCCAGGGCCAGCCGCTGCGTCCGCATCTGCAACTCCGCATGCACCCGGCACAGGGCCGTCCGGACGTTCGCGTCCACTTCGGCGGCCGCCGCCTCGTTCACGGGGATGTCCACATTTTTCACCAGCGTCAGCAGATCGTCCAGCCTGGATTGGACATCGGCTAACCCATACCGTTCGCGGTGGCCAACCGTTATGTCCGCGGCCGTCACCTCGTACTGGACGTCCGGTGCACCGTCAGTCCGGCCGACCGCCTCGGCCACGCCACCCAGCACGCGGACGCCGTGGGCGTACAAAGCGGCTGTCTCGCATTCGGCCACCGTCGGCGGCCACGGCTCCGCCATCCGCGGGTCGACCACGTTATCCACACCGACGAACGTGTTCCTGTACCGCCTGACCGGCAGCCGCCCGATGGCCGTCATGGTCTGCGCGAACCTCACCGCCTCAGCCAATGCGTCTACATACATGCGGCCGGCGCCGGCCGCCGTGACGGCAATCGGCACGTCGTTGACGTTCCGGAACCCGGAGTACTCGCGGAAAGCGTCAGCAGACAAGTCATCGCCGTCATCGTCCTGCTCATCATCGTCCTGCTCGTCGTCGTCGTCCGCCGGATCCGGATCCGGTTCCCCGGCGGCGGACCCCTGCACCAGGTGGTTGTCGTAGATGATCGACTCGATGTAGTACGACGTGCCCCCCACCACCACCGGAACTTTTCCCCTAGAGTATATATCTTGTATCTGGTAATATAAGCAAGTCAAGGACCACAATATATAATATGTACAATGATCGATAACAATAGCATAAGAAAAATAATATAAATATAGATATATCAGGTATACGTTCGAGCTTTTCTTACTTTTGAAAAACAATTTGTTACCTATATGAAAATAATTCACAATAATATATAATATATTCAATCCCTAAGCACGAATTGATTTCACGATTCCTGAAAATAAATGAAGTAACCTATGATTTGTGTCAGTAATCATTAAATCGCACATTTCCTTTCGGTTTTGAAACGAATGTAGACGAAAAGCCTGAGTATGGTTGAGCAAAAACTGAGCAGCACGACCCTATTTATTTAAACGTTCATCACAATCGTATATATATGAAATATCATACATGCCAAAGCTACAGTAGTTCATTGTTTTTTTTTTGTATTTTAGAGAATAACTCACGATCGACGATTGTTTTTTTTAAATATATTTTTTTACTATCATCGCGAGACTTTAAAGGTACTATAACTGTAATAAAGTCTTATAGGATGTTTATTTTTTTTTTAATTGAAACCTCGAATGATACAAATGATTTTTATGCAATCAATCATGACGTTTAAAATACGTACATTATTATAAAATATGCATAAATTGTTGTTGATTTATACTACTTAGTTAATTCAGCAATACATGTATAGAATATAGAAAAGCGAATAAATAATATCTACATAGTACATATACCTATATAATATATATGTACACTATTATTACTTCGTGCAAATAAATTTGTATACTAATTAGAATTTAAAAAATAAAAAGGATTTACGTGATGAAAGTTCAACATTATAATATTAAACTAAATCGGTGGGCGGTAAAAGCATACCTAATCCAAATTTATCAAGCGTTCGCCGTATCGTATACGTAATCATAAGTGCAAACAAATTAATTATTTATTTTGAAAAATACGAGGGTTGCTTGAATGCACGTAACGCATTATACGTTGGGGTATGTCAAGTCGTCGCGATTGCTCACTATATTATTAATATGAAAGACAAAACGGGTACTGAAAATACAATCATTGTTACAATCGATAATATATAAGGCGTGCACGCGGTGTTTAGGTGTATATAATATTGTAGTGGAATGGACATGTTTCGCCGAAGAAATGAGTAAAAAACGTATATGCGGGAATCGATAATTTAGTGAAAATTCTGAACGGACGCCGTTCTAACACAGATTACGCCCCTAGAAGTTTTCGGATGTTGAACGGCGAAATAACTAAAAGCTCGGCTACATAAAATATTTTATAGGTAATTATCATAGTATAATATGAAAGTAAAGCGTATTGAATAAACGTTAGTTTAAGCTAAACGTTTTACGAAACTCGTGAGTAAAACATTTTGAGAACCCCTTTACGGCATTCTACCAAGCTCCTATCCTAACCCCCATATGGCCCGTTTAATGACGTATACATAAAGGGGGAGATGCGTGCAGATCACGGGCTACAATATAAGCGTCACGATGATGGTGACCGGAAACGAAACGACCGCACCGGAAAAAACGCTTGCTGCATGGGTCATTCTGCTGCATATATATATATATATATACAACACCTTTTGACGCAAGATTTATATGGTATCAGTATAATATATAAATATATATTGTACTAAACACTTATATATACGATGATATACCACAATGTACGATAACTGAATGGGAAACTCGTCGAGAAAATTAAACATGATTTGTACGAAATCGCTCTGTTCCAAGAGCACTTAATCTCGAAAGAACCACTCGTTTTTTGTTTTTATTTAATTCGCTTTCATTTTAATATCGTCATAGCTTCTTATCGTAGTAAATGTTTGTTTTATTAATTAGTTTTTTCGGTTCCCTCTTACAGTTTTTAGAATTACTTATTATATATTGTTTCATATTGTTATAATCATTTTCGTACATAGCCGACATGTAGACGCCAAGAGAAAAACTTTAACTACTATCACCGTTTATTTTTTTCCTTCTTTATTGCCACCATTAATATTATCATTTTAACGTTGTACTTGTCATCGATTTACTCAGTTTTAAACTTCTACTGTAGTGCTTTAATTTTCAAACATATGTTATATGAATATACAATACACGAAATTGAAAAATATTATTTTGTAAATGTACAATTGAATGCGATTTATAAGCTGACATGAACATTATTGGTCAGATTACATCGTCAATACCCCTCCCCACCCATCTTCCGTAGGACGTTTTATATCGACCGAGATTAAAACAATGCATTAAAATTGTCAACCCATATCGATCAAATAACCTCAGCCCATATTTACTCTTCACCAAATATTAATGAAATCCACTTTTAAGCCTTTAAGTTATGTTATCTAAACAAACAAAATATACAACACACAATACGAACTACAATTTACTTACCGCTTGTATTTCGTAATAATATGTTATGATAATGCATAGCAATAATTTGTAAATCTATATATTTATACATTATTATCATATAAAAAGGATAATAATATAATATAGGTTATAGAAGTAGAATAAACTATACGATTGAACAGTATTTAACACCAGGTATATAGAGATATTGTAGATATATTATGTGCCGATATTATGGCAACTAAGCGTATTAGATGGATCGTTTCTATATTATGGTGTTCCAAGAATAAAATACATTTTAATTACATCCATACAAAATAAAACTAGAACGTTAAAAAAATCAATACGTGACATAACTTAAATTAAATCTCAAATAGGTCATTGTATAATATTATAATCATTTGACAAACTGCAACAAACTGCAGGTGGCAGGTACATACATGTCGGTGTATAATAAATAATAATAATAATGATCAGACAATCCTTTAAAAGTTTAACATCAATTCAGCCTGTCTAATACTTGCACCATCTTTTTTCATATTGTATTTACTTACTCTCTCTATCCCCATGGCTCGTCTCGCCTCAGGAAATACTACTATATAGTATATACCATCACCGCACTGCACCAGTACAGCACTTCCTGCTATATTATTTTACTGTCCGAGCTATATCCTACTGTTACACATTTCACTTCACAGCCCCCTTCCTCCCCTTCCTTTATCAGTACTTGAAAACCGACGCATTATTACTCCCCTATTGGAAAAAAGCACTTTCTCCGAGAAGTATAATATATTTGTATATATATATTATATACGGTATTATAATAATAATAACGCTGTTGGCGCATATATCACACATACGCATGTGATATAGGAAAAGTGTTTAAAAAATGCACACACCCTGACAAACAGCACGAAGCGTGACATTCGAGTGTGCATGACAAAAGGACTTCATTAGAAACCTGCTGTTTAAACACGAACAAGAGGTCGTTAATCAGCTGGCTATACGACGGAGGGCCGAACGCAAAGAATCTTTTTTCATCGTTATTTTAACGGCAGGTTACGCGACAATTACAACATCGTAATATAATGTTCATATGATAATAATAATAAATTATTACAATAAAGAGTAAAGGATACGATTTTTAGAGCTTCGTTCCTGTACTGGTGTACGTTACATTCGTCACGCCAATCCACAGTGCCCATCATGTGGTGAGGGACACCGTCCATCTCTTCGTCGGTAGCCTTGTTGGTGGCTACATCAAGACCTTTGTAGACCTGCGAAAAAAACAAAACAACGCTGGTTATCACTTTGTATACAATATTATACTAATGTATAAGTTTACAAGATACGATGGCTAAAATAAGCATACCTAGTTCAAAATTATCCACCCGGGTTTAAGTAGTATAAATGTTTTTCAATTTGATAATAATATAACATATTATGAATGCAGAATAATAATATATCTCATATGTATATATACACGGCTCTTTCATAGACATCTCAAACATGCAACCCCTAAATAAACTATGGCCGAATATGTATTAAAAAAACGCATACCTATGGCCGAATATGTATTAAAAAAACGCATACCTATGGCCGAATATGTATTAAAAAAACGCATACCTATGGGTAAATACATAATTGATAGCCGAGAAAAAAATAAAAATGCAAATCAGCTAAAATTGTACGTAATCCTCGATGACAGAATTTATTGTTTAGCAAACATAATAAATATAATACAAATTAAATTAAATTATTTTCTTCATCATAATATTTTTTTTTAAATCATTTATTAGTACCTATATATCAATTAATATAGTAAACAAAGTATTAAACTACCGTATATTAAGCACGAAGACATTGAAACCTGCAACTATATACAAAATAAACTCTGCAAAATATACTCTGTCGTTACACGTAAATAAATCGATCGAAAAACATATATTTTTTATTTTATTTATTTTATTTTATTGGTTATACGGGCTTTGGCCCTTTTACATTACAATTTGTATTTTACATTAGACATTTTACAATTAGATAAAGCAACTTAGATCTAAACAATTTACATTAATATATAATATGTATATCAGATGACAATTATAGCTTAATATGTTGAAGAAAAAAAAGAAAAGAAAAAAAAATATAAGAAATAAAAAATAAAAATATTTTACAAATTTAGCAAATCGTCAAAGGAAGGCTCTGCATTGGCAGACGTCATTAGGCGTCTTAAAGGCTTATTAGCCATATAGTTGGTGGTGGCGTGTGGGACATAGAAGAAGTCCTTTGAACGGGATTGNAATTGTATCGTGAAAAATTATGTTTTCAACATTTTCTTTACTAGCCTTTATCGCCGATTATTAATTACTACAATCAATGATCAATGATTAGTAACTCAACATACACTACACGCAGTTGTTGTGCGCCATCATTTCCGACGCGTCGCATTGTTTTTCGAAGGACACACCTACAACTATATAGTGCAACTGAAATCAAGAGCGATCGATCTCACCCGGCGGCCAATGTCGACTAAACCCCAACATATCGGGGATTTCCCAGGGATAGCTAACATACATGTATACATATTACATACATACCATACATACATACATACATACATACAAACATACGAACCATACGTACATACATTTAGGTAACTATATACGCCATTATAAAGTAGGTATAAATATACAAGGCGGGAGAGGAGGTTTTCTAATATAGTCGGGTTGTAGCAATGCAGCAATAAAACACGACGCAGCGGCGGGAAAAATCGTCGGCGAGACCTGAGGGGTGGTGGTCTACCGGCGCATAATGCCATATATTGATCCGTCTGCGTCGGATGAGTGTGCGTGTGTAAGTGTGTTTGTCTACCTTTTGCGGCGAGGTGGTGTGTCTGGCCGCCGGCGGCGGACTTGTTGCGCGCTACCTATATATACGGTCGGTCGTCGGTTACATTATATGTACATAATATAACAGCTATATAGTATATAGCTGCAAGACACAAAATACATAAACCTCGTCTCTCTGCAGCCTATCTCTGTCGGCCCGCCTGTGGGGTAGGTTAGGTGACGGAAATTTTAAACAGCCCACGCGCCGCCGCCGTCACGGAATGGTCTTTTCACCCGTTATTATTTGTTTATATTATTATACACTTTCGGTCGGTCGAGACCGCGTTCGTCTCTACCTAGCTTGTATAATATTAATGTGGATTCAACAATTTTACAAAATTTAACAACAGCGAATGGGCACTTCCACAACATTTTGTTCTTTACTTTTCTTAAAACAACTGCAATAACTGCGTGTACCTACATTTAAGTCGAAGTGGATTACAGTACAGGACGCGGGAGAAGCACCAGAGGAATAAAATCGCGGAATGCGCGAAAATTGTTATGTTCTCAACTTTTTGCATGTGGGATCATAAACGTCGATACAAGTATTCTCTGATGGAGTGGGTTGATGGTAAATTTGTTGGGGACGTGCAGAAGACATACAATTTCATAGGTACGGCGGAGAGGTAAATATACTCGGTCACTGCAGAATGCTCTTGCAGACACCGACGATTATATACGCCACAAATTTGTTGAGGGAAAAAATTGATAGCGACAACGCAGAGATGAGAGGATGGCGTCGCGAAATGACATTTGTCGATAAAAAAGTTATCCCCGCATGTGAACACTGTATGGGGAAAATAAGAGGGAAAACATGTATACATATATGTACCTATAGTTAGATATATTGTCTAACGCTCAATATCGCATGCCATACCCTCCCACTCGAATCTAACGCAGAGCTTGTTCTTATATATTCTATATTTACCTATATATATATATATATATATACATATATACCTATATATGTATACCCGGCAGTGCAGGTTTTCGGTCGAATAATTTTGTCGGACTTTATCGCGAGCGGTGCACGCACAAGACTATACGTTACAAAATACTTACAAAAAATGTGTAAGCCCGACCTGTGACGGGCGTATTTATCAATGATTGTATCGACTCAATATCATACATACATACATAGGTACATACATAGAACATACGCATGACGCATGCCCGGGGCGTGGTAGTAGACCGAACAGAGAGAGAGAGAAAGATTATCCGCGGAGATTTTCGCTGTACCTATACCTATGTATATTTATTGAACTCTTCGAAGCATTTCCGTTTATTTATTATGTTATATAACACACGGCAATATTTAGGACTGAAGCAAACCGGCGAATTTTAATTGTACATCAAATGTGCGACGATATTATATAGGTACATAATAATGCGGATACACGGTATGATAATATATTATTAATATGCGTTTAAATATAATATTATATCCTAACAGCATACGCATATATTTCAATTATATATTTATATGTATATAATATAGTATTTTCACGGTATAGTAAAGTCAAACTTCATAGCATAAAGTGTATAAACGATATCTATTCTGTTTTGTATATGAGCAAAATTTTCCTGCTGACGCCCACTCGAAAACGCGCTAAATATTTTACTTATTTCGAAATAGTTTCCCACGTTTATGTACAAACTGTTTGAATTGATATCCAGTATATAATATTCATAACAGATAATATCATTATATTATACAAACGTAGTTGGCGTTATGTTCGATGTAGAAGAATTAATAAGGTATGAAACGCTTGTACAATGACAATCGATATTAAAAACTATTGAAGTCGATTCGACGATCACAAGAGCGTTTTTAAATGTCTATTTTCATCATCATAATAATTAATATTATAATTATAATATACGATAGTAGTAATATACATCGATATAGTTGGTTCCTTATAACTAAATTTTTTAAATATATTATAGGATAACGGTGTTCACTATATTATAAGTATCGATTATCAGCCGATTGTGAAACATAAAACGGCTGTATCATACGAAACACATATTACATAATATAATATGTATACAGTTATCAATAATGCGTATTAAACAAAAGATCAGTTAAGAAAATAAAAAATTCAACGTACGATGTTTTTTTTTATTTTTTTACAAATATATTGGTATCAAACTATCAATAACCGTTTTTCAATCATTCAACAGTGTTGGAAAAAGTTCTAGGGTTACAGGACATTTAATAAGACATTAGTGGAACACAATATTAATACATTTGACCAGCGTGTGTTTATTTTCTTGCGATCCTTTTTCCCCGGACATAGAAAAAATATATATAATGCACTATAAGCGCGGGCACGCGCGAATGCACGTATAGTTATAGGAAATATTAATCAGAACATAATAAAATAACATATAATAAGGTTTATAAACGTTATGAGTTTGCTGCCATGCGGAATAATATTGTTTATATCAGTCTCGAAGCGTTCTAGTTTAAAATTCTCAGAGTGAATCATATCTGTGATCTAAACGACTTTAACCGGCCAATTAGATTGCTGCCGCCGAGAGAGGAATTTATGTGGATGATGGTTTTACGCCGGCCGTCCATATATATATATACACCTATGTATATAATATATCGTCGTTTCAAAGTCGAATTTAATATTAATAGTCACGCATATACCTCAACGCGGCTATATACATAGGTATTGTATATTATTATTACATTCGGTGCATACGTAAAAAAAAAAATATTTTTATCGCACACGTATATTATAACGTATAATATGTTATGTTAAATACGAGACACACGACGACGGTCGTCTCCCGGCGAAAACGTCAATAACAATAAAAGCCCAACACATAGTTCGCGGTTTACGACGACGGCCTATGCGTTGCACAACTGTTATATTATTATTATTATTATTATTATTATTATTATTATTATTATTATTATTATTATTATTATGATATTACAGCAGGTAGGTACCAAGCGACGCAGTAATAAAACCACTGAAAATCTCATGCGTTCGTATACGGAAAGAATTTGTAAAACTTTTGTGTTGTTATTCGCGAGTTTTTGATTCAGAGGTTGCATAACGATTTAACAATATATTGTAATGCGTAGGTAATACTAACCTATCTGTATCGAGAATAAGACCAAAATTCTATGAATTCTTTACAAAATGTTTTTTAGAATTTAAATTACACGTCCGTCTCGGTCGAGATTAAAATGAGATATTGCGTTATTTTTGCAGTATACACATTCGGACGCGTACGACGGTATAATATCATTACTACAACGACTACTTATTTATTAAAGATACAAAAGTGGCGTTACGAGTTGGCGCCGGCTATACACTATGTACACCGCATTATTATAATAATAATGTGATATATAGTATAACGGAGTG